GCGGACACCACGCCGGGACCGAGATAGCAGATCTAAGTGGGCCATGCCGCGCTACGGTTATGGCGGCATAAAACGCTCCGGCGGCAGTAGTTGCGGCGGCGAAGAGGGCGGTGCGGGCAGAAGCCAACCAGTCAGCCAGCTGGCGGGTCGTGGCAGTCGACTCGAGTGCCGTCGAGAGCCCCTTTATGGCCGAAAAAACGGCCGCTATGATTGTCTATGCAAATTGTTTAAAATATCCGGGCTAAGGCCGTTCCCCGTCTTTCGAGGGCGTCGTTTCGCGAAAACCGCCGCGAGCCTCGTCGACCACTACTACTACCGACGGGGACGACGGGCACGCCTCGAGAGCCTCGATTTCGGCCAACCGTTCTCTCGCGACCGTTGCGCGTCTCGTCGCGCGGAAAGGTGTTCGATCGAGACGATTAAAAGGCATACTCGCGACCGGGCGGAAATATCGGATTTGCAATTCTATTGGCCGAAGAAAAAGGCCCGGCGCGGATTATGGCGTTTCACGGAGAGTAAGTCGAACGTGGAAGAATGCCGCCACGCGTCGGATCGATCTGCCGTTTTTGTTCGCAGCTTCACGCTGCGTCCCGATCCGATCGCCGAGCGCGATACGGATGAATTAAAGATCGCGGCAAGATATATTGGAATGGCAGCGCGCAATACGCTAAATGAAACGCGGTTCATTATCGATCTCGATGAAACTGCGCCTGCATCTCTCAGCTTGCGGCCACCACGGCCGTGCACGCGTGTGCACCGCCGTGCGTGTGTCCGCCTCTACGTACGCGCGTGCATGTGCAGATAATGGCATTGCCGGTTTGCGGTTTGTACCATAGCGGCATTACCTGCCTTAGATGGCTTATTGATTGCCTCGACTATGCTCCGTTCTCGTGTTACAACACGAAACACGGAATAAGAATCGTCGTTCGCTCCTCGGCTACTACCACCCCCCGCCGTACGCTGTGCGCCTCCAGCGTTCTTTCCATCCAGGCCTGCCACACCTTTTCGCACCGAGTCGGACCGAAGGCGCGGAGAATCGGCGAATCGCGACTCGATTAATCCCCCCGTGGATCAAATCAAGATTTTTCATCCGGGACCGTGTTAAACGTTCGCGGATCGCGTGGAGAAAGCGGTGTCGGCGAAATTTATTCGACCGAAGGTAAGTAAAGAGGAGATTCCGGGGCGCCACTCGATACGCGAAACGACGCGGAGCGGAGGCTCGCGGAGCTGGCAAATGTAATTTCGCGAAATGCTTCCATCGATATAAGAAGACTCCGGCTACGGTGTCTGGGGATAAGGGCGACGCCGAAGAAGGATCGAGGAACCGGCGGGCAAAAGGCGGAGGTAGAAAATGGAAGAACGAGAGGAACATCGGTGAGGGGGCTTGGGGAAGGACGGGCGGCAAAGTCGCAGGAAACTGCAAGCTAGACGGATATATCTTCCGAGTAAATTAAAATGGATTATATATGTCGACTCCATCTTCGATCTTTCTTCTTTTCCTACCCCCTCGCGTACTTCCGCGTTATCGCTCCAACGCCACGCGCAATTGTTATCGACTTCGGGGTGAAACTTTCCTAATGAATTTCCATTCTTTCCACGGAATCTTCGCCGCCTCGAACCAGAGGGATAATTCGGATCGCTCGTCTCGCGCCAACGGAATAATTCTCCACGCGGTATACAGGAGGTGTAATGCACGATATATGCGGTGACACGGAATGCTAAAAGGAGGACAATTGCAGAGAAGACTCTCGTGGTTTGAAACATCGTTGCTTCGGCAACGGTGCGCGAAGGAAGGAACGAAGAGAGAAGTGGTAGTAGGTCGGTGGCCACAATTCTGGAAAGCCCAAGTTGGCTGGCATGGAAGGTCGGGACACGGAGTCGACCATGATGTATGCTCCTCTTCCGTCTAATTAAACTTGGGGAGGGTCGCAGAGTTGGTTGGTTGGTCGGCTGGTTGGTACGCTGGCTGGTCGGACAGACGTACGGACGGCCGGTGAGGGGCGGCCGTCGGGATGGCTTTCAAAATGACAGCCAAGGAGCAAGAGAGAAGGAGCGAAAGCGGCTGAAACCCGGTGAGAACTGGCGAACAAGAGACCCACCGGAGAAAGACGTCGTCGTCTCTCCCAGCCTCTCGCCGGAACAACCGAAACGATTTCGTACTCTGACGGCGTTACGACGTCCTCGCTGTTTGAACATCCTTGTATCGAATTAACGTCGACCCTTTCTATTCGCCGGCACGTCTAAATTATTCGCGTTCAAGCCGCTTCCAGCGTGCAAATAAATCACCGATCTCGCGTCGCGTTACTCGCCCACTTACACGAGTTCCCGGGTTAAACGGATATTTCCCGCCGCGTACTTTCACCGGTGACCCTGACTTTCCCGTTCAATTTTCCCGTTTCACGCGACACCGCGAATCCCCGCGATCGACCACGCTCGACATTCTCCCCGCTGTCCGGCAACGCGAGTCGGGCAGGAAGAAACTCGACCCGTAGCCGCGCGAGCTAAACGCAGTCACTCCGCCTCCATCAAATTAATTTAATTTATACCCGCTCGTACGAGACTTTGCCGACGAGGCTACCCGCGTATACCGGTCGTGCCTCTTTCTTTTTGCATCGTAGTCGTCCCCTTTGATCTAACGTCGGCCGAAACACAGGCCACTTTTTCCCTTTTCCTCGTCTACGACCGCGGCACGCGTTCCTATTTACCGCGTTCACCGCCTCGCTTCTTATTCGATCGCGGTCATCTATCTATGGGCGTATGTAAACTATGCCCGCGAGCGTTCCCCTTTTCTCCTTCTTTCCCTCTGCGTCAATGCGGAACGCGGATCCGCGGATTGGCGTTGGCTTTCTCCAACGGGGACAGGTTATTGGCGAGCCCCGACGAATTCCTTGGCGCGGGTCGTCGCGATTCCGAAATGTTTCGCCGACGGGATGAACGACGTGGCCGGTGGCCGGCTGCGATCTGGAATTCTCGATGAAAACGACGCGACGCCGGCCACGACCACCACGACCACCACGACCGCCACGACCGTCGCACCACGACGACGACCACGACGACGCGACGTCGCGTTCGCTTTCACGGTGATAAATTTACCGTCGCGAGCAGCTCGGTATTCAAGTTCGGCCATCGCTTGATTTATGACAACTTTAACGCGGCACAATGTCCGAATCTGTAAGCAAGCGAAGAACCGCACGTTCACCGACCGCGCCGGTGAAATTGGCAATCGAAGGGGACGTTGAAATTTGCGGAAATAGAGCCGGATCGGAGGAAAATCGGAGAAAGCGAGAGACGAAAATGTACGCGGAGCTAGAGTCGCACGCACGGTGATTGAGCCACACTCGTTCCAGACATCTGTTCCGTGATAATTACGAGCGAAACGGAGTCGCGGGGTGAACAGCGAGAATGTTAGCCCTTGTTGCGGCCCGTAAGTCATCGCGGGAGAAAGATTAGGACGCTAAATCAAGGCTGTTGAGGCCGTAATTCGTTTGCTGGAAAAAGGGAACGTCGGAAGGAGCTCTTTAAGAGGCTGGCACTCGAGTGAATACACACTTGGCTCGAGTCAGTTACTCTTTTAAGCCGTAATATGTATCCTGCGCGCCGAATGAATTCTGGTTCACGGTATAGTCGCTTAATCGCTCGTAATAACGCCGAGACGAATGCTCGCGAGAGACGCGGCCGTCGCGAAAAACCGCCGTAATTTCTGGCAGCGGATAGCAGCGGATAGCAGTGGATAGCGCGTTTCCCACGAGTGGCGAGAGTTCACCCCCTCGTCTTCTAATCGGAGGTTCTCGTCCGAGAGCGAAAACGAAAGAGAATCATCGAGAAGATTCCGCGTGTCGCCACGTTCCGGGTGAGATTGCACGCGATCGTGCCCGGGGACGAACGGAGAACGAGACGCGGCGATGGTAGCCGAGGCATCAACGCGAAGACACGTTCTCGAGTTACATTAAAATCCTTTCAAGCATCGCGGCGTTAACCCGCCGCAAGCTCTCGGGAAGGCGATTAACCGAAGAAGAGGAAGGCCGCGCGGTCGCGAGTATCGGAGCTAGCAAGCAGCGAGCGGCGGTCGGGGGGCTGGAAGCTCGTCTTTTCACGAGCGCGCGCGATATCGTCATCGCGCAAACAGCGTATATGCATTAAACCATGAACCCACTATCCCCGACGTCATATCCAATACGCGTTGTTAGGGGGTTGCCGAAGCCGGCGCTGGAGAAGCGTGGAGAAAGCGGGAATGCGTGGGGTGCGGGCGGCGTGGCTGGTTGCGGGGTGGTTTCGAGGGTGGCTGCCAGCCATCCCCTGGCCCCGGTGCGGTAATGGCATTAACCGAGCTGCAATATGATTACCGCTCTCGCAAGGTAACCTGATCACACCCGAAATCTATGGGGTGTCCGTAGTATGAGGGACAATGTACCGTGCCCCGAATTGCCGCGCAGCGTTACGCAACCGCGGCCACCGGCGACCAACGCGCGCCGCTCTCGTCTCTTCCCTACCCGCTCCGTTTAATCGCGTTGCGCTTTTTGCGGCTCAGATTACCCGTGAATCATTAGATGGCCGTGGGCCCCGGTTACGAGTAGGAGGCACCGTGCCGCGCGGCTACCGCTCCTTATCTCGGCATTAGGAGATTAGTACGTCCCTCCGCTCCGAACGCGTTTTTCCGTCTTCGCCCGCTTTCTTTTTCTCTTCGTTTCACGGGCTTAACTCCGACGCTGGGTAAAAGCAATTTAGAAAATGTTTCTTTTTGCCGCGCGCCGTTTCGTTGCGTCGTTTATCTTCGCTTCTCGGTTTTAAGCGCCGCTTGATAAGTGAATAATCGTTGGGAAACACTTTGCCGGGAACGGATATTCCACGATTTTCGTGGTCCCCTCGTTGCGAGCGCAACGGCGTCTCCAGAGGCGGAGCACGGTCGTCGACGAAGACGTCGGGTAACGCGCGACGGCGAAACCCGCGGTCGGGGGAACGTCGTCCAGACGCTCGACAAATGACACGTGCAAGACACTTACCGTGAGGTGTTGAAACAGCCACGCCCTGAGGATATTGGTCGCCACTTTGGGGAAGATGCCCCTCTTCTTCTGGTTCTTCTTACCCGACGAATCGTCGTCTTCCTCACCGGTGCCCTCGCCGCTGCCGATACTCGCGTTACTCGCGTCACCTGTAATCCAACCAAGAGATATTTCGTTAGCCAGAGATATGGAAAATGGCGACAGGATTCGGGGTTACAAATTACACAGACCGCTTCGTACGTTACCCCTGTCCGAATCATCGTTCGAGCACTTTAAACCGCGTCCCGATTTTCAGCGCAAAGTAAACCGAGAGCGATAACTGCCTCACCCCCATGGCTGGTTCCCATGCATACAAACACCATTAAGCCACCCGCAATCACCCTGTCCCTCTTTCGCTCGCTGGCCCCCCTAAACGCTCTAGCCCCGATTCCAAGGCCGTCCCTTTCCCCCCGCGGCCCTCGTTTTCATCCCCTGGCCGCATTAATTCCCCGTCATTTATCAATCTTAGCTTTTTAATTGCACGGTCACCGGGGACTCGAGCAGTGAGACGGTAATGAGAGATATTAAGACGGCTTACGGTCACGCTTTGCCGAGGCAAATATCATTTTTATAAATTATCGGAACGGAGTCATTTCCAGGTACCCCCTTTTTCCGTCAGATCCATTCCTGGCATTAATTAAAAGCGGTCGCTGATGAACTCGTCGCTCGCTACCGGCTGCGAGAAATTGATGCCTTCTAGAAAGGCACCGAGCCCTAATTTTTGCCAAGTCAGCGCGCCATTACTTACCCCGAATTCTTACGAAATATCGAATTGCCGAACTTGCCGGATTTAAATAGCCATCGAAAATTCGAAAACGACGAGTTTCCATTGCGGAATAAGATCAGCGCGATCGAAAATTCCGATTCGTATTCCGAGCTAGATCCTCCTCTTCTCGAACGCGAGAAATTTCAGAGCGAAGCGTCCATCGATCGCCTGGCAGGTGGTAGTAACGTTTAAAAAATAGACGGAAAATCGAGTCGATCGGTGCGGTAGAAACGCGATCATCGAAATTCACCTGGCGTACCGATCGATCTCGTTTGGTACGGCCGGAAGTCCGAGGTTTCCTTTATTCCTTTCTCCCCTTCCCCCCCCCTCTCTCTCTCTCTCTCTCTCTCTCTCCGTGCGGATCGGCGCGGAAGGAGAGAACGGCAGGCTACTTACGCCGACGGATTATAAATGACCGAGCCTTATCGTGCCGCCCAAGGCTCCGGTTCCCAAGGTTCTATCGTAACAGAGAGATCAGGGTGAGCCTCGGTGCTCCCAGGGGTTTCACGATGACAGGTCGCCCGGGGGCGCCGACCCACCGCCGACCGCCACCCCTTGGCCACCCCTCGAGGGCCGAGGAACGGTCTCGTGGCCGAGATTAACTTTGAATTCGTCCGGCGAAAAGGGTGGCCAGCAGCCAGCAGGAGGAAAAATTTGTCCGTCGTAGGAACGGACGGAGCGAAACGACGGGAGATCGATGGAAATCGGAGCCGCTCGCGACGTATCCTCGCGTTCGCCGTGCACCCCCGCCAGCGATCAGGGGCGGAGAAGGCCGAGGGAAAAGCGATCGACTTCGATCAACCTCCGTCGACCACCTGCCATTCGATTTCGTCGACGAGATTCCGGATCTGACGGCGTATTTCGTGCCACGACCCGGAATAATGGACGAGGGGAGCATCGGAATGTTCAATTAAGGATGACGGGAATTTTTTTTAAACGTCCGCGGCTTTCAAACTCCCATCTCCGCGGTCGAACAGGCAGCGGACCACTGTTTCTCCCCGTGCTCGAAGTTTAACTCTTTCTCCCGCCGACAGAGATACCGGTATAATCCTCGCGGAGCGGATAATCGTTCATCGCCAGCCAAAGGCACGATTTTCGCATAAAAATCGCGCATTCGAGAAGACAAAGATCTCGAGAATAGCAGCGAGAAGCGGATATCGCGGTACCTGCATCTCACGCGGAGAGCCAGGATTTAGCCAAGGATGACTAGTAGCGGCTAATATACCCGGGAGCGGTAGAAATCAGTGCGATACGGCAAACACGACCGGTACGAACTGTCATGGAGGAAGACCAAGCTCATGCAATCGCGCAATAACGGCCAAGAAATCACGTCATCCCGGCGAGCCATCGCGCTTGGATTCACAAGGAGCCAGGAGTCTCGGCGTCGATCCGTTTCCTTCTCTCGAAGAGGGACGCTTGTTTTCGTCCAGCCAACAAGAGAGAGAGAGAGAGAGAGAGAGAGAGAGAGAGAGAGAGAGTGAGAGAGGGGGAGAGAGATCGGTTTGCGGTGGTCCTTGTGTTCGCAACAAAAACGACGTTAGATCCTCTCGAGTCGTCGTCGACCACCGTTGTTTCACGGCCCGTAATGGCGAGTCCGTACAGGCGAATAGAGCGGTCTAGAGGCGCGCGGAACGGCCGGCAGCCGGCTAGCGGAATAACGGAATGGCCAGCGGACCGTCCCCCTGATTGCAGTTAATTTACTCGGTGAATCGAGTTAATGTAGCGTGCCGATCGTACGCTGCCGTTACCGTGCCCTGACGTATCGGTCGAAGAAGCGGTGCTCCGCCGCTGCTCGTCAGGAATTTCTCATTTCCGCGAGAGAGAAACTAATCCTACCGAAAAACGAACCTTCCCAGCCTGCGCGGACGCAAGAAACGGAAGACGAACGTCGCGGAGTAGACGCGGCGCTAAAGAGATACGCTCGACAAGAAGACTGGAATGCGTCGATCGTATCGGGAAACGAGGCTAAAACGTGGAACAATGGACGGAACGTATTCGCGATCAGAAACGCGTACGCGAGTCCACGTTTCATCCACGTTGTCGATTATCCGGGCATTTCCGCGTATTGCTTTTACCCGAGGTGTTAGACTGGACTGTAAGTGCTCGTGTCGAGCCAACGGATAGGCATCTAGCGTATTATGCACGTAATATCCCATCAGTACGGAGTAATTAAGCCGGCAATTATAAATCCCGACACGAAGAATCCGGTTGCGTGCGGTTCGCCTGTATCGCTCCACATTTTTACATCGCTAATTTCGTAGCTCGACTTTAGCCCACGTAAAACTCCACTCATGGATAAATAGCCTGTGGAAACTTTAGCGTCGTTGTTCCTACCGCTGGTACACTTTCCGACGTTTTGCTAGCGTTTTATCGCCGCGGTAATTTCTTTTTAATGTTCGCCTACCGTTTTTTGCCCCGACAATGTGAAACTGACGGAAACCGAACCTACAGAGGTACCCGAACCCGGGTAGACGCAGTTAGGCTCAGCCCCCGCGAATCGCTGCAAACGGTACCGCGTGACAGGCTTCGATAGGTCCCGCTATTCGCTGCTTCGACTCGGAATCTCTCGGTACCCCGCAATGCACGAACCCCCTCGGGTCCTTCCACTCGCGTAGTCCAGCTGCGTGGCTATTCGCGCGGAACCGACAGCCCGCGTCGCGTCACTCGTAAGGTTGAACCGTGTTTCTCCGCTAGATCCTATCGATCCAAAAATCGACCGATTCCACTGGACGATGAAACGCGCGGATACGTCTGGACCATGGGACCAAACGTTGCCGAAAGTTCGGGCACGAACAAGTGTCTCCTCCGCGTAGCCGCGCAACGGCTATAGGGAATTAAACGCGAGCCTGGCATCGGGATGAAATTTAACGCGGCGATAAATTGCGGAGCGGAAAGTCGCGAAAATTGTGCACGGCATGCGCCGGTGCACGCGTGCACGCGCGCGTTCCCTCTACGCGACGCGTTTACGAGCGGCGCAGCGGCCCGCCAGGGTGGCAGCCATATCGTCCTCGTGTTGATTTACGCGGCGCACCGTGCATTTTTACTGCCGCGTTATAGAGATTTAAGTGCAGCCAATTATACGTTTACGCCGTTCCTCGTCTCCTCGCGTTCCCTCGCGCCGGGAACATCAGACGGTGAGAGGATCCTCGCGTCCTCCCGGGGACCAACACGCGGACGTGTACCGGAGGCGCGTACCACCCTCGACCCCTTTCCATGCCGTGCTTTTCTTTCTTCCGAGCTGTCGCGGGCTATACTTAGCCGATGGGTCAAGAATAAGCCGAGTCTCACGTCGGCTTGACTATACGCTATTTCGAGAGGACGAGCGGACACGGTCAAAACACGCGGTCTTTGCATCAGAAGTGGCCTGCCGTCGAGGGAAACGATCGCCTCCGGTTTCGCGTTCGCTTTATCGAGTATCCTCTCTGGCCTTTCCTATCCTCTGGCCCCCCCTTCGTCCTTACGAATACTCGTCGCGCGAGTAGGAGAGTCGCAAAGGTCGCGATAGCTCGGGCTCGCGCCGCTTCGCGCTGGAAATAATAAGCGGCAATGACGGTAATAATCGTGATCAAAAACCAATGAGGCGGACGTACGCGATGATTATCAAAAGCCGCGCGCATCGCGGAATGGAACGGGGCGAGCGTGGATAACGAGAGGCCAACGAGCTTTAAACGGTACGATAACGCGATAATTCCATTAAGGGGGTCGGGGGGGGGGGGGGGGGGGGAGCAATTAACGTCACGCGCTGTGCAGCGCGATTTTTAACGACGATCGGGAAGGAATCGGGATGACAGGAAGGAGATAGAGAGGCACGACCACCGAATACGTCTTCGTTGGAACCCTACCGCTATTTAGGGTGGCCGCGCGCGGACCGTGGAAATAAACCGCGCATATGGCCACCGAAAATAAACTCCTTATTCCCATCTCGTCGAACGAAGCGGAGGACCCCGTACACTTCGGCTCCTCTTCCCTTTCTTTGCTCCACCCCGTTCGAGCTATTCCGTTTTCTCCGTCGGTGGCTGTCCGTTGCAGCCGCGCGGATACGCTTCGAACTCTTTTGCGCGTGCAGAAGCGTAAAAGCGCCACGACCCTCTGTGCACCGGCGCGAGCGCGTAGGCAGAGAATGCACCGGATACCGAGACATTTATTTGCTGCCACGCAGGCGAGCCGCGCGTGGAATCACGAGCGCGTCTCGGAGCGATGGGTGCAGGGAAAAAGGCGAGTGGGGAAAAGAACGGGAATCGTCCTACACGCCTCTTCGGATATCACGTTTCACGGTCGCGAAGCTCTCTCCCACGCGGTCCGGGGTGGCGTGTCCGTCGAATTCTAGGTTTAGGCCTCGACCGG